CCCGCCCTCTCTGTCTCTTTCTCTGTCTCTTTTTCTGTCTGTCTCTCTCGTTCACTTGCTCTCTCACTCTCTTACACACTCTCCTTCCCTCTTTCCGAAGTCATCTCTTTCTACCTTTCTCTGTCGATCGTTCCAACTCCCGTTTTCCAACCTGAGTGTCGTTCTCTCTCGTATCCCTGTCTATCTCTCCTCCCCTCTCTCTCTCCACCTGTTCAATGTGCGAACACAGGACAAACAAGGTGAGCATGAAAAAGACAGAAACAACGAAAAACGTGAATACATGCACATGCAGACACACACACACACACACATATAAATATTCATTGGAAGGACAAAGGAAATTATGACGTCATTCTGACATAAACCATGACGGAGCCTCTATGCTAATTTTAGTAGAGGTTTTACGGCACTCGCAACTGCATAAGGTCATATGAGCGCCAAGGGGTGGATGTCAACAGAGAAGTCCTTACAGAGAATCAGGCTTTCTCTGCTCACCTCTCTAGCTAAAAACAGCACAAAGTCTGCTTCGACTATCAAGGCACGCTGAAAATAGCGGGTCACAAGAAAGTGACAAACATACACAAAAAGTAGAGGAAAAAGACGATAGTAAGGATGAGGAAAGAAAAAGCAGCAGTTCCACCATGGAGACATCACAAGATCAGAACTGTACAACAGTGATGACGTCACAAGATCAGAGCTGTACAACAGTGATGACGTCACAAGATCAGAGCTGTACAACAGTGATGACGTCACAAGATCAGAGTTGTACAACAGTGATGACGTCACAAGATCAGAGCTGTACAACACTGATGATGTCACAACACACCTCCAAACACAGGTCCAGAGAGTACGGCTTCGCATCAAACGCCTCTAACAGTTGCTCATGTGTGCTAAAGCCTGTGTAGCTGATATCTGAAAGAAAATCATCATCATCATTATCATCATCATCATCATCATCATCACCATCATCATCATCATCATCATCATCATCACCACTATCATCATCATCATCACCACCACCATCATCATCATCATCATCAGCATCATCATCATTAGCATCATCATCACAACCATCATCACCACCACCACTGTTGAACCATCTTCCCCATCATAATCAACATCTTTGAAAACTGTGTTCCAAAAATATGAGAGAAAGCAAAGCAAAGAAAGAAACAGAAAAAGGAATGAATGAATGAATGAATGAATGAATGAATGAATGAATGAATGAATGAATGAATGAATGAATGAATGAATGAATGAATTAAACAGTGAAGAAAAGTTACGAATACGGTACAATAAAGACCTCCGAAGAACTATCATCCAATGTAAGGTAAAGAGTCCAGTATTTTCCACATTTCAAACTGGTCCCACAGCTCAGTGTCCAATGTCAAAGTGTTTCTGTTATTGTTATATGACTGACTCTCGTGGCCTAACGGTTGCAGAGTTCGCCTCTGATTCAACGAGTCACGGGTTCGAAACCTGACAGCGACGGGAAATTTTCTTCTCTAAAAATTAAAAATATATCCTTTCACCTCCGTTCCTGCTCTCTAACCATGTTCTGTCGTCTGCTTTCGTCTCCACTTTCTGCCCCTTCCCCCCTTCCCCTTTGCCCCCTCCTCACGGCTCCTGACTTTCCTGCAGTCTTTCTACTGCTACTCCTTGGCTCCTTATTGCTGTCTTTCAGCCACACAAATTTACCACTTGGCTCAGTCCTTCCGAAGATGGGCGTTGAACTCGGAAGTCCAGCCTCTTAAATAACCTTATAGTGCTGAAAGGGGCGTTAAACCTATACAATTTCAAACAGGGAAGGCGGACGTCAACTTACCTCTTCGATTTAGTAAGATTTTTAAGGCACTTGCAACACAATAAGGTCATATAAGTGCCAAAGACTAGAGGTGTTACAAGAGAGTAACAAACATAAAAAAGAAGGAGAGAAGATCAGGACGATAAATGTTTGATAGGAAAGAAGGAGCAAACCAAACCAGAGCTCCCGTCAACCACCCACAACTTACTTCTGCTGTAAAGTTTATGAAAAATGCCGTTCATCCTGGACATGACGTCATCCGTGGCGCGAGATGTGGGCAGGTAGAAGATGGTTGGATCTGTGTGTCGCCAGCTGACGGGTGGGG